ACATGTGACAATCATGGATGATGAAAAGGAAGGGACTTGTCTTCTAACAGATTTTTCATCCCTCTCATTGTGGCCTCACTCAAACATCATGACTTGTTTGTCAGATGTTCAAGTGTAMTGTAGTGTCTGCAAGTAAAACATTGCATCAACCAATGAAACAATTTTAATTAAACTCTCAGAAAAGAGTCATTACATATATATTTACACTAGATTAAATATTTTCATCCCAAATCAAGATGGGCACCAACATAAAAATAGCTACAACTTTGTCAGTTTTACAGATATTGAGCTAAACTTTTACATGGTTGTSCTAATAATCTATGCTGAACACGTCAGAGTTGCTGCAGATTATGTAGATTGTACTTGTTATTTTTTTAAWTAAGAGCAAAACACCTGTAATTTCTCATATCTCATAGTAAGATAGCTCTGAATTGGAAAGGAGCAGGTGATATTACTTTAAGGAATGTCCAGTTTTTAATTTCCAATTTCAAACTTCTATTTTAGAGCTGACATTTTATTTTGAAAAAACAAAAAAAAACAAAAAATAAAATCAAACACTATTCACTGATCTTTGTTTTTGCTCAACTAATTTCCAAAATCTTTGTGTTTCAGTCTATTACAAACCATCAGATCTGACCAGAGCATCAGAACCTGAGGAGCTGAACTGAAATGCACTATTTATCTGAGGAGATACTGACCTCTAGTGGACAAAATGTGAACATTCAATCAGCAACATTTGCAGTTCAGTCAAAGATAAAAGAATTTGACAAAAGAGGAAGTGGAAAGTGTGGAGGAGAAGAGGAAAAATGGCAAAGGGTATAATAACATTTTTTATTAATTCCAACCATCAAAAACAAAATGATGAAAATGTTTTGGCTCATATTTGTGTGTGTATGCTTGCCTCTTAACAAACCATCTTATAAACCAGAAGACAAATTTTAATGAAATTCTCAGAAAGTAATCATTGGATGAATATTTACAAATGATTAACTTTTGGAATTAATCCAAGTCAAGATGACCACCACAGTGAATCGACCTTAGTAAGCACAAAACACCTCCAGTTTTACAGATGCTGAGCTAAAACTTTAATTTGGTAGCTGAGAGTAATTGACAACACAGTCTTTGAAGATGTCGCTATTACTTCTTATTATCTAGGAATGCTGGGTTTATTATTGTTCTGTTTCGTCACTTTGTTTTCTGTTTTTTTTTTTTAGTAGCATCACTTCCTTGTCAGGTTTGTTTCTCTGCTTTATAAACAGCAAACTTGTTCTTTWTGTTGAGTTGTTTTCCTGTGTGTGTACACAGACCAGGATTTCCTTTGTTTGGTTTCTTGTGTTATCACTGTTCCGTCTGTTCCCTGTAGTGCTTTCTGTCATGTTTGAATTTCTGGTTGTCAGAGTTTTGCTTAGTTTTGTTCACTTGTAGTTTTATCCTGTCTGTGCAGCAGTGTTTGTTTGGTTTTTGAGTAAAGAGTGCTGGTCTCTGAATGTCTGTCTGCATTTAGATCCTCCAACCCTCAACTCACCTGGTTTTATGGTAAAACACCTGRTTAGACGGTTTAATAAAGGTCTCAGTGGGATGCAAAAGTTTGGCACACTTTTTAAAAAAATAACTTAAAACAGTTTGAAGTTAGATGCTATTTCAAGTACCACTTTTAAATATTGTTGAAAATAATAATTTATATTACAGTATTCAGAAAATATATCAAATCAGCAGTCAAAGCAAATGGGTTTTTGCTATTCACGTGACTATTTACATGAAAAATGTTAGACTTTTTAATCTAACTTAAAAATAATCATTTGTATGAAAAGTCAGACTTTTTAGTCTTATTAGCCAGCCCTCCCATTTGAGGTCTYAAATTTACACTGTGGACATTAGGTGTAAAGTCCATGGTAGTAAAAGAAAATACGATATGTTACTGCTGTATTTTCAGCTGTTGTTTTATCTTATTTTCATAGTTACATATATCCACGATCASCCAAAGGTACCACAGTGAACAATAACTGTAAAACTGATGCAGTGTTGTCGTCCTCCTGTAGGGGGCAGAAACACGCTTACTGTTCAACGAAGAAGAAGTCCGCGCGAACTTCCGGGTTWATGCTGACGCGTCTCTCTTCCTCTCATTCACCGACGTGTCAGTCCTTTTTTTGCCCAGTGCCGAGCAGTAGACACACACARCGGTCTCTCTGCAGAAATGTCCCCCAAAGGAAGCAACAAGCAGCAGTCGGAGGAAGACCTTCTCCTCCAGGACTTCAGCAGAAATTTATCCGCAAAGTCCACAGCTTTGTTTTACGGAAATGCGCTCATCGTTTCTGCCATCCCCATCTGTAAGTACCACACACTGTAGCTAGCTAGTTAGCTGGCGGAGCTAACTGGTTCATTTAAAGAAGAAAAGGAACAGGGGAAGTCCTAAATACAACTTTTTACAGCTAAAATGAAATTAATTGTTTTAAAGGCGTTAGGAATAGATGCAACAATAAATGTTCTTACTTTCCAGTAAGTTTAGCTGCATCGTGGAGTGTGGCTAACTTACAACTCGGGACAGAAGTGATGAGTGTTCATGTAACAATCTAAACTAAAAAATAACTCACTGCAGGTTTAATAAAACTCTGCAGTCTGCAGTGATCAGCAGGAGTTTTAAAGTTATTCTCATCCATTTATTTAAATCAATCAAGACAATTCAATCAAGTCGTCTCTCACAACAACACAAGCTTTGTTTTTCCTGTAGAAAACACACACTGTTGTGTTACCCTGACAGAATAACTGTAAATATTCTAGACATGGATGAAACTTTGAGGTACTATGTTACAAAAAAGGTTCTATTGACAGGTTTTAGTATCATTTTGTATCNGGATGAAACTTTGAGGTACTATGTTACAAAAAAGGTTCTATTGACAGGTTTTAGTATCATTTTGTATCTTTATAAAAAAAATTTGAATTAAGAAATTCTGACTTTTAAATGCATTGAAAAGTACATTTCTTTTGGTCGACACTGCCTTTAGATTTTCATCTAATGTGTGTTATCAGTTAAATAAACTTGTATTATTGTGTGTGTGTGTGTGTTTTTTTTTTTTTTTACAGGGCTGTTTTGGAGAATCTGGCACATGGATCTAGTCCAGTCTGCAGTTCTGTACACTGTAATGACTCTGGTCAGCACCTACCTGGTAGCTTTCGCCTATAAGAACGTCAAGTTTGTGCTCAAACACAAGTAAGAATCATTCTCATTAGCACTCAATTCCCAGGCTTTGTGTTTACGTTGGAAAAAKTTGGAAAAAATAATCTTATCTGTAACTCTAGTAGGCATCTCAGTTAATTTATCAACAATCTTTAGTTTGAGGTTTTTGCTCTCAGCACTGATGTGCTTTAAAACAATGTTTTTAAAGTAACACACWTGCAACTTCTGTGCATTTCCTCTCTCTGTCCCCCAGAGTCGCTCAGAAAMGGGAGGATGCTGTTTCCAAAGAGGTAACCAGGAAGCTGTCTGAAGCAGACAACCGCAAGATGTCWCGGAAGGAGAAAGACGAGAGGTGATACAGATTGTGTGAATCTTTGTGAAAAGAAAAGTGTAATCCAGCCTGCGTTTGTTTCTGTGYGTCATGATGGTAAAGGAGGTTTGATTGTTTCTCTTCTGTCACCAGAATCCTGTGGAAGAAGAACGAGGTCGCTGACTACGAGGCCACCACCTTCTCCATCTTCTACAACAACACGCTCTTCCTGGTCCTCGTCATCGTCGCCTCCTTCTTCTTGCTGAAGAACTTTAACCCCACTGTGTATCCTTTTCTGTCGTTTGTTCACCAGAACTGAACCCGAGATAGGATTTTGTGACTCTGCACCACATGATGAATATTTTTTCTTATATTTTGTCTGAGTTATAGGTTAATAAAACAATAGATTGATCTGCTTTGACCCTTTTTTTATCAGGTTTTATGTAAATTATGCGTAACATTTCTTGAAGAAATGCATATAATAATGAATGGATTTCAGTTTCTACATTCAATTTTAGCCCTTTTCTTTTTTGTGGCAGTCTTGAAATTTATTGACTTATTAAAGTTAATCACTTGTAGATTTTCCTCCTTAACCCACTGTTTCCAGCAACTATATCCTGTCCATCAGTGCCTCTTCAGGACTCATTGCACTGCTTTCCACTGGCTCCAAGTAAAAAAATAAATAAAGAAAAGGACATGGGAATKAGAAGATTTTGAGTTTGAGGGGTGGTTTTTTAAAAAATAAAAGAAAATCTAGTCCACAGCATAATATTTTTCATTTTTGTTAGGAAAAAGAGGATTTCAGCTTCATGAAATTCATGATCAAATGTCTGGAGGGTGTCATCCAGGCCAAGCTTTTTCTTTTTTTTTTTTTTCTTTTTTAACAAATAAACCATTCAGGTATGCTTTTTAAGTGTCTGTGTGTTTTTCTGTCTGCTTCACAGCCTTTTTCTAAAAAAAAAAGTAAAAATAAAACTACACAAACAGAAAATGACTTTGGTAAAAAATAAATTTCACTGATGAGAAAACTGCTCAAGTAAAAATYATAAAATCGTTCACATAAATTGGGATAATAAAAGTACTTTTGCACACACTATAAGAAATAAAGTGGCTCCACTGAGCTGGGTAGAGTAAATTGAGCAATAAATGTATAATTTTGCTCCGTTTTCTTGATTAGGCTCAGTGGAGCCAGTTGACATGACTTTGTTGAGCAAATTCAACACTTCATTTTTTTAGAGTGAATAAACTTTCATGATAAGTTTAAACATTTAAGTTGTAACAAGTAACTAGGTGTTAAATTTTAAAGTAAAGTAAAAGTACCAATAAGTTTTCAAGGTTTTTAGCTTTAAAATGTAAAGAAATAAAAGTAGCTATTTAAAAGAATAACTGGTAAAATTACAAATCCTCAAAATATTGTAACGAAGTAAATGTACTTAGTTAATGTAAACCTTTGAAATTAATTTTCCTAACTTTTAATGAGATTTAAGTTAAACCTGATGAGCAGATGGCTCTTCAGGTGTAACTTAAGCAGAGGAGAGATGTTTCTGATGGGATGCATTTATTTCAAATTCCAAACTCATAGATTATTTATAAAGAAACCACTGCAGCGCAGAGACTACACTGCTGCCTTTCATTCAGGGAAACAACTTTTTATCCACACAGCATTAATCTGGAGCTTAGTTAACATCTTCATTACAGTTGATATAAAAGCTGGAACACTTAGTTGTAATTGAATATTGCCAAGTGATTCACAAATGTCTTTTTGTGTTCAGTGACAAAAATGTGCTGCTCCAGAAATTCTACGGAAGAGGATTAGGGTCACTGAAAATTAAAAAAAGGAATTCTGACTTTAATCTTAGAATTCTGAGAAAAAAGTCAGAATTCTGAGATTAAAGTCAGAATTCTGAGATTAAAGTCAGAATTCTGAGAAAAGTCAGAATTCTGAGATTAAAGTCAGAATTCCTTTTTTTTTTTTCCAGTGGCCTTAATCCTGTTCCGTAAAATCCAGGATTTGTTGCAGGCTTTAAAACTTTTGACATTTTTGCCCTTTTAATGCTGCTTTTGAGCAGTGGTTTGAATGAAAGTGCATCGAACAGATAWACTCAGTTTATTGTTCTTATGCAACCCTTACATGTAAAAATAACCTATTAATATATATTATTACTTGGTACAACCATGCCCAAACACACTTTTCCTTTGTCTTCATTTTCTTTCTGTCTAGTCTGGGTGAAGGCACAACATTTGCACGTCTGAGGCCTATTGCACRAAACTAGGATAAGGGATTAACCCGAGATTTTGGTGTAAACCTGAATTAATTAAGCCTTGAATCGGTTGCATGAACTACGAAGCAGTTATCTGTGGTAAC